CCTCCCTGCCTCCCTCCCTCCCTCCCTCCCTCCTTCCCTCTCTCCCTTCCACTCTCTCTAAAAGTCAATGGAAAAAATATCCTCGCATGATGATTAACAAAAACCAAAAGCAAAAGGAGTGTTGCATATTCAATTGTGTCTTTGATCAGTCCCTGGGAAGCCACAAGGAGGTAGACCGCAGGGGGAGAATATAGGGTCCAGCAAGCCGAGGCGCTTGCCACAGTCCAGCTGGGCACTGGCGGCAGCAGAGGGAGTGGAGAAGCAGGGAGCACTGAGGAGATGTTTCTGATGGAGAGCATTCAAGCCTTGGAAATCAGGGGGCAATTTGGAGGGCAGAAGGGGGAGAGCTGAACCACTGCAAGTGTGGCCCCTGGGAGATTAATTGAGGGATGGCTCCATGTTCCGGGAGAGCAAATGCACAGGGAGAAATGTTTTAGGCAAAACAAGGGGGAGGAAGTGAGGAGGAGTGAGGGGAGAAGATGAATTTGACCTTGAATACACTGAAATAGGGGCACACACATTACTTCCAGGAGCATTTGTCCATAAGCAGTGGAAATAGGCTCTGGATCCCAGCAAATAGGCTAGCTTGATTTGAGATTCAAATGAAGCATCTACTAAAAGTATCAGAAAATTCAAAAGCATTTGCAAGGTGAAGGGGGAGCCTCCTGGGTGCCATATGAAGTATATATTGAGTTTGTTCATCCATCCTAGGTTGCAAGACTGGCCTTAGAGAGAAGAGGCCCCAGGACTGCACAGCAGTGTCCTTCTGTTAATAACAGGACGGGGGCTGGATGCACGGCTGTTTCCTTGGCAACAGCCTTGCCTGGCAGGCCTGCAAGCTGTGTCTCAGCGACAGATGGTGAGAGGATAGAGAACTAAGTGTTACTATTGTCATGTTGTCCTGTGCTGCTTTTGAATTGTCAACTCAAAAGGGACACAGGAGGCTTCCTCTGGGTTCTCCAAAGGTCATGAGCAGTGGTGGTCATGATGTAGCCAGTTTTCTGAAGCCAATCTAACAAAATATGTTTCTGGAAAAATAATGCATCATCCCCAAATGATTATCAGACATAATTCTGTCCCTGAACCTTTTGAGGTTTTCTGATCGGCTGCTGGAATGTTTGTGTATAATATTTGGGGCTGAAATGGAAATGAAAGGGTCATGCATTTTCTGATCAAAGCTCCACATCCAAGCCAAGACATTTGTAACAAGAGATCAGAAGAATGGTGAAGCAGGTTGGGAGAGAAAGGTGCTCAGAACTAGCCTTTGTATCAGCATCATCTTAAAGGCAGAGCCATGGCCAGTGTACTTGGGCATCATTGCCCATTTTATGATGGGTGGCCCTTCGGCACATCCCTGTGGTTTTGTTTCCTGCTAGGAAAGGCTTATTTCTTTAGGATATCATGATTTGGAGTTTACCCATTTTTAAATCCCTTTATAAGATTTTCTGGAAGGTGTGAGTCAGATTGAGTGCAAGGTAGCCATAGTGAGTGACAGGGCTGGGTGGAGGGGCACACGTGTGCCTAAAACAAGTCTGTCCCCTTTCATTGCTCCTCTGCTGCCTCCAGTGAGGACCCTGAGAGACTGACGACACAGTGAGCTGAAGGGGCCAGATGATGGTGAAGGCGAAATTAGTTACACAGCACACTTGATCCTAAGAGCTTCTGGTGCTTTTATTCTCGCCCCAAGTCAAAGTTCACAGACAGTGAGCGCTCTGTCCCTCCATTGACCGATTGCCAGCTTGAGCTGGTGAAGGGAAATGAGGGGAGGCTGAGAGCCCTCTCTGGCTGCCAGGCCACCTAGGTTCCTGGCACTGTGTCCATTTGGGTGCCCAGAGGCAGCTGTTCTGTCTAATGGTCAGTTCACACGGCTAAACAAAACAGCAGCTAAAACATTTCCATAGAATTGCCTGTAATTGTCTCCCTAGTCTAATTATGCAAAATTTAGTTTCAGGTATATTAAAAAACGGCTGAAGTTGTAAAGAAGCACGAGAAGTGCATGTGATGCTAGTTTTACTAAGTGTCGTGGGCATGTGGTGTATGTCCATGAACTGCATCTTTACAGGTAGACTGCTGATCGTCTGTAATTGTGCCGTCTGATATGACAGCCATTTGTCACATGTGTCCATTAAGCACTTGAAATGTGGCCAATCCAAATGGACAAAACACGCTCTCAGTTTCTGAAGACTTAGTTAATGAGAGGAGTGTAAAATGTCTCATTATTTTGTGTTGATTACAAGGTGAAATGGTTATACTTTAGGTATATTTAGATATATAATCATAAAACATAGAACTAAGTTTACCTGGTTCACTTTTTTAAATGTAGCTCTTTGAAAACTTTGAAATTACATATGTAGTTTACATTTGCGGCTCACATTATATTTCCATTGGAAAGCACTGATCTATAATGTATGTGTATGAGACTGTCATAAAAATTAGCAAAATGAAGTCTTTTTATGTAAAGCACACAATTCACCTGCCTGGCAGTTCGTATCCCGAGGCTGGCCGGTTTCGCTTGTCATCTGCTGAAGGACTGATCTTGTTCACACCCTACAATACAGGTGTGAAGTTTGAAGTCAGACTGAAAAAGAATGCCGGTGGCTTGGGATTCAGTTTCGTGCAGATGGAGAGAGGGAGCTGCAGCCACCTTGAGAATGACCTTGTGAGGATTAAGCGGCTCTTCCCAGGGCAGCCAGCTGAGGAGAACGGGGCCATCCAGCCTGGTGACATTCTCCTGGCCGTGAATGGGAAGCCCACCGAAGGCCTCGTCTTCCAGGTGGGGGCCGTGAGCGATGCAGCCTGTGTGCAAGCTGATGCCAGCCATGCTCTTTTGAGGCCCCCCCACCGTAGGAAATGCCCTGGGCTCTTGAAATCACACCTGGAGCCTGCGCTTTGATCACCCAAAGGGAGCAGTTGGCAGAACATTCTCACATTTAATTTCTCATCTTAGTTTTTAAATATCTGACCTTGAGCCAGCCTTGCTTCTAATTAGGTTCATAATAAAATGGAAGATAAAACCCTGGCTTTCGTGCTGAAAGTCTCCTGACACACATTCTGGGAGGTGAGTGTGAGGATGAAGGGATACAGTGGCCTCTTCTGTCCTTTCCCCCCTTTTCTACCAAATTTACAGTTGTCGATGCACAGTGTTGCTCTGGTTATCCTGTGTGACCAAAAATGTAATTTACAAAGGAGTGAAAGTGGATGCCTCTCAATGCTTGTAGCACAAAAGCTTGATGAAGTATTGTACATACCAGCCAGGGTTCTGGCTGAAAATAGAGTAATTTGAAGAGCGTTTAATAAAGGAGTGGGCAAGGCAGATAGGGAGCGCTGGGGACGGGAGCAGGGGTGCAGTTTTCCACTCCTCCAAGTCCAAAGGGGTGCGGGAAGGTGCAATCACCCAACCCCAGAAGCTGAAAGAGCCGGACGGAGCAAACCTGCTGAAATGAGCTGTGACATTAACAGAGGTCCCCCACGGGGGGACTGCAGGCGCACACACGGGCCTGCCTCTCCTCCTGGCCTCTGGCCCCTGCCCCTGCTCCAGCTGGCAGCCCAACAGGGAGCCACCTGCTGCCCGCACAGACCCAGCCCCCGAGCTCAGGGCATGCTGGGTGGGGTGAAGCTGGTGAAGGGCTCCGGTGGGGTGGGGAGGGTGGAGAATCCCCAGAGCAGCGCATGTTTGGGTGGGGCTGTCTGTCCATCCAGCTTCGGATCTCAGAGCTGTCCTTTGAGACCTGCGGCAACAGTCCAGCTGGGAGGCTCCAAGGCACCAGCTGAGCCTTGGCTGGCAGCGCCCACAGGACTGGTGGTACTGAGAGGGGGGGTGGGAGGCTGAGACGGCAGCAGCCCTGTGCCTGAGTCACTGTGCCTCTGGGGAAAGGCGTTACCATCGGCAGATGCTGTCAGGCGAAGGCCTGGCGGGCTCTGGCCATCTCCGGCCCAGTGTTGGCGTACTGCCTTTGCCAGGGCTGCAGGCTCGTAGCCTGGTCACCTTACGCTTGGGAAGTCCGGTCCATAGTGGTCTCTGAAGTTTTTTGGAACTTAGGAACTTATCAAGGTGGGTAGAGGAGTCGGCCCAGGGAGGTGGTGGAGAGCACAGAAGAGGAGATCCGCAGCCACAGGGCCCCGCTCTAACCATCTGGTTGCTTTCATAGGACGTGCTCCATTTACTGCGAGGAGCCTCTCAGGAGGTCACGCTCCTGCTCTGCCGACCCCCCCCAGGCTTCTTGCCTGAGATAGGCCCGGGATGGCAGGTAAGACACGGTGCCCAGCTCTCCACATGCCTCTGCTCAGATGCCCTTTTCCTGGCAGGTGGCTCTGAGAAGCCCAGCTCTGCCTTAGGTAGGGTTCAAGCCACCTCCTCGCACTGGGGCAGGAAAATAGCTGGTCTCCAAGCCCCAACTGGCTGGCAGCAAGTTCATGAGGTCATCTCTGCCTTTTCCTTCCCCTCCCTGCTTCCACCCCTCCTGACGTTTGAAGCTTCCTGTGATGGTCGCAAGTGCAGATCTTGGCCGGGAGAGCTCTAGAGCCAGGCTCTCTGGCAGCTCAAGCTGCTTGTGGGGGAACCAGAAGCAAGGGGAGCAGTGCAGCCCAGAGCGAGGGAAGGCAGGGGTTCCCATCCCGAGGAATGAAGCGGGGAACAGGATGTTATCCCCTCCTAAAGCATGAGTTAGATGTGTGGGGTCTCGTGTGACAAAGGCATTGAATTGGGAAAATTCAGAGAAACAGAACCAATAAGCTGTGTCTGTGGGTATGTATATATGTGTGCCAATAGCGGGTGCATATATATGGGTAGAGAGGGAGGGAGAGAGGGGGGAGAGGGAGATGGCAGGGGTGGGGGAAGGAGGGGAGAGGGAAGGGCTAGGAAGAGGAGGAGAAAGGAGAGGAGAGAAATTTTAAGGAATGGGCTCACATGATTGTGGGGGCTGGTTAGTCTAATCCTACAGGCACGCAGGCAGTCTGGAAGCCCAGGGAGGAGGGGATGTTATAGCATGTGTCCTCAGGCACCCTGGAGGCAGCATTTCTTTCTTTCTTGGAGATCTCAGCCTTTTCTCTTAAAACCTACACCTGATTGATGAGGCACACACCCATGATGGAGGGCGGTCTGCTTTACTCACAGTCCACTGATTTAACATTAATCTCACCTAAAAAATGCCTTCACAGAAGCATCTAGACTAGTGTTTGACCAAATTCTGGGTACTGTGGCTTGGCCAAGTTACCACTTAAAATCAACCATTGCAGTGCTGCATGCTGGGCCCCCAGGACACAGACTCTGCAGCAGAGATCTGAGTGCAGGGGGCTTGTGGGGCTGGCTCTTGGGAATACTCCTGGGAGAGTGAGGGAAACAGGTCCGGAGGGGGAAGGAATATAGTACAGCTGTAACAGGGGCCTTGGCTGACCCACAGGGATCTCTGGAGCTGGGGTGGCCTCTCTGAGCTGTCTTTAAGTGGGGCAAGAGAGCCTGTGCCTTTTCATGAGCATCAACCAGCACCGGGGCGTGGGCTGCCCCGAGGGAGGGGCTGACCCTGACTTTGGCTGAGGAAGCTCCCTTGAGCTCCGAAAGGGGCTAGCTGGGTGCAGTCTGCAGCTGGCCCTCCTGGCAGCGGGGGGGGGGCCTCGGTTCTGGGTGACGCCCTGCAGTCTCCCACACCTGCTCTGCTACTCGCTTGCTGCAGGGGCTCTGGGCGGCTGCCGCCTTCTCTAGGGCTCGTGATTCCTCATCTGCAAGGTGAGGATAAGCGACCACTTGTCAGTGAGGGCACAGTCACTAGAGACAGCACCGGGACTTGGTGACTCAGATCTCTTGATGCTTGGACTTGAAGAGGTTGTTTGATACTGACTTTGGTGAGAAAAGAGCTATAAAAAGGAAATAAGAAAGTCACCAATTTGGAAAAAAGCTTAGCTGACAGCAATTGTATTAGGCAACTGAACAGGGTGAGAGAGGGTCGAGTTTTGCACACACAGGTCAGGCCAAGGGGCTTGGTACCATGGGTTTTGTTGGGATATCTAGCAAATGGCAGGGGCAAAGTTGTCCTTCTGTCCTGGAGAATAGGTCCACCCTGGAGAACCCAGAGGAGCTTGGTAGGAAGGCTCGGGTAAGGTGCGGTGGGCATGCTTTCTCTCTCCCACCTGGCGCCAAGTGCAGAGGAATTTTTATTCATTTGTGTGACTCCAGAGGTCAGATTGAAGACCAACAAAGGGAACATTTAATTCAGAGCTGGAATGAGGCGGTTATGAGAAGGAGGCAGCTGCACTCACATTCTGAGCCAGGTCATCCCAGGCAGAAGGAGTAGCAAGTGAAAGGCTCTGGGACGGAACGACCTGGGTGCTTGAGGGACAAAAGCTAACAGTTGGCGTCTGGACTACGGTTAATGAAGGGGAGATGGAAGAAGTGTAGAGGCAGTCGGGCCACGTTATGTAGGACCTTGGTAATGTGACGATTCCATCCGGCTGCCATGGGAGCCACTGGGGGTGGCGGTGGGGGGACGAGGGGTTAAGCGGGAACGTGCCCTCATCTGGCCTGTGCTCTAGAAGGTCGCTCAGGCTGCTGGTGGGGACGGACTGGAGGAGTGAGCAGCAGTCATTCAGGGAAGAGGTTGCTGTGGCTTGGACTCGGGTTGAAGCTGAACAGTTGGTAAGAAGTAGTCAGATTTGGGGTACGCCTGAGAGGTAGAGCCCATAGGATCACTTTTCCATCAGGTATGGGTTTGAGGAAAGAAAACAAAGTTTGGCTTGAGAACCTGGATGAATGGTGGCACCACCGTCCAAGGCAGGGGTGCGCAGGGGCGTAGTTTACAGCACACGGAGAAGCCGCGGCTCTCGGTAGCACCAAACCTGCGGTGCTTACGAACAGCCAGTGCACGTCTAGTAAGCAGGTCTTTGTGGAGAACTGGCATGAGGGCAGGGCTGGAAAAAGCGGATTTGGGAATTTTCTGCAAATAATGCCATTTAAAGCCATGAAATGGATGGTACCGCCTTGGCAAAGAGTACAGAAAAAGTTAAGAAACGACTGAAAAGTAAGCCACGGGACACTTCAGCACTGAGAGGTCTGGTTCAAAGAACTGAGACAGCAGCTGGGACTGAGCAGTGGCCTGGAGGTGGAAGGGAAGCCAGGTGAGCATGGAGTTCAGAGTAGGCTTGGCGTTTAACTAGAATAGACGAGTAAGGACACCCCCAAGAAGGATGGGGGGCCAAGTAGGTTCACTGTTGCTGAGAGGTAGTGAGGTGAGAGAATTGTCCTTTGGCTTTAGAAAGAGGCCCTGGTTACAGTGATTTCAGTTGGGGACCGAATGAAGGGGACAGAAGCCCGATTAGGGGGTGCAAAGGGAGAAGGGGGAGGTACAGAGCTCACTTGAAGAGCAGAGCCGGGTGGTGGCTGGGAGGTGAGGAGGGCGCTTGGGGTAGGGCCGCCAGGAGGAGAGTTTACCAGGGAGAGGAAGGGTCCTCGCCCGACCCTGACCAAGCTCATTCTCACTGTGAGGCAGGGGCAGGGCGGGCCCCAGGGCAGTGGTGGTAAGTCACGCAGAGGCAGGGAGCACGGGAAAGGGCGTCTGCTGAGGAAGTGGGGAGGACTCTCTGGGCGTCCTGAGTGTCCTTTGACCCCCGCACTCATACCTTTGATATCAGACCGTGTCTCAGAGGCGGCGTGAAGTCCCCTGTAGTCCCCCGGGAACCGCGGTTACCAGACGGCCCTGCAGGCAGCTGGAGGGGGCAGAGCCGGAGCCGGAGGGCGGCTCGGGCTCCTTACCTGCAGGGAGTGTTTCTGGGGTGGGCCGCCCTGGCTCCAAGCGGGGAGGGAGCAGTGAGGACGGGTGGCTGGGGGACAGGGGCAGTGGAAATGCAGCAGGTCACCCGCAAAGCCTCCCCGAGGTTGGAGGCTGCTGGGAGCCCATGCCGGGGTGACAAGCAGGTTAAAACGGTTGGAGTATGAGACAAAAAATAATTGGTTCTCCTATTTTTCTTTTGTCTTATCCATTTCAAATTTTGCTATACCCTTTATAATGTACGCTGTAATGAACAGAGTCATAGAGTTTATGGTTCATGCTGAAATAAAAGACCGTAGCTGGGGCCCCGCTCATTGCGGAGAGTGAGCAGGCGGCGGGCGAGGGCACTTGGGCTGGAGGAAGCGCTGCGCTCTCACGGGGGACGGCAGGTGCAGGCGTCCGCCCGCCTGCTCGGAAGCTCCTGTGCCGTCACACCATGGGTGTAGGTCACGGGGGGAAGTAATAGAAGATAATTTTCAGGAAAGGGTAAAATGACTCCAGGTCGATATAAAAATGAGCACATGTTGAAGATTTTATCTAACTCATTCGATGAAGGAACCAGGCAGATACTAAAACTGGGCAGAAGGGATTTCAAGGAACAACGTGTTTGTTTGCACGGTTATGAAGTGTCCCAGGGCCGTGAGCCCAGCTGGAGCAGGTAACCCACGGGCTGTGTGTGGGCCGTGCGGTTTTCCACTGCAGCCCAGGTCCTTCTTTTCCCCTGGAAAGCTGAGCCACGTTGCGCACCACAGCAGGCGTCAGAGTCAGAACCCACAAGGCCCAAGGGCACTGTAAACAGCTGAGGAGGATCCAGCAATGTTGGGAGAGTGAGGAGCGACCCAGGAAAGGGCACTGTGACAGGAGGGGGGCTGCGGAATAGGCCATCTGGGATGAGGGAGGGTGAAAACGAAGGAAGTTAAACAACATTTTCTGTTGGAAAGCAGGGTGAAGAGACATTGTTACTTCTATTTTCACATTGTCTAAGTTTTTAAAATATTTTTTACTGAAAAACCCCACATTTATCAAGAACTTCCAAGGGCCCAAAGCTAAGGGGCTTAGGGATGGCTTAGCGTGTTGTCTACGCCAGCGGGGGCTGGGGTCCTGACAGAGGAGGTGACCCCAAAGCCCACGTCTTAACTGCTCTGTTCTACAATCACATGAAAAAACCGCCGCACTATTTTTTAAGGAAAGTTTTTAGATTCTGCCCAGTGTGCACCATGGATCTATTCATCTGTAGCATTTCTTTTAATAGACACCAGTTGCAGACAAAGAATCTACCAGGGCGACCTGCACCGACTCAGAGCAGAGCCCCAGTCTGGATCCAGAGGACGGCCAGAGAGACGGTGCCTCCCCAGACGCAGGGGCAGGCCTGGCCCCCAGGACGGGGCCTTCCCAGCAGGCCACCAGAGAGACAAAATGGGACCACGACACAAAGCGTCCCTGGGCCGCCTCCCTGACTTGTCCTGGGGCTTCCCACCCTCGCCTGTGCGGACCGCAGCAGGAAGCAGAGGCTGTGGCACCAGCTACCGCGTTGGAAAAGGGTGGGAGGCAAAACTGCTGCTCAGTTTGTGATATCAGAAGACTTGACAGGTAAGGCTCACATTTGCAGATGATTTGTAAGGTGCGTGCATTTCATTGCTGGAAACTCCAGTCGAGCAATCAGTGACTGCGCTCAGACGCTTACTCGGCCCGGGGCTGTCCGAGGCGTGTGGAGGGGAGGCAAACACAGGAGAAGATGAGACCTGGCGCTGCCGTGACCACGGCTTGCGAACTCCTGGGAAGGCACCTCGCCAGTGCCCTCCGGCACCCTAGGGGGCTACAGGTGAGGCCTGGAGGTGTTTTGCAGCACACAGACCTTTAGCCTGCCTCCCTAGTGGCCTCTTGAAGCGCTGTGGTCAGAAAGAATCCCCCACGTTCATCATCGTTTCTATTGCTAATATAGTGCTTTATAATCACCTTAAAAAACACACAGGTCTACACTTTGAAAACTCAACTGAAACATCCATTTTAATAGCCATAACTTAGCTTTATTTTTGTGCCCATCCACCCCGAGGTATTTCCAGTTCTCAGCCCTGTCCTGATGAAAAACACACTATTTGATTCCGTTTGACAGTCCTTGTTACAGATGCCAAGGTGCACGGAGACCTGTTACAGCGCAGAGAGGGCACAGACACCGAGGAAGGGGGGCACGCGTGTGGGGCACGCGTGAGGCAGAAGCACAGGCGCAAAGCACACAGTCATGAGCAGTGGTGGTCGCGTGGACACCGTTCAAGCCACTGAGATTCCATGGCTCTCTTTTATTCATCATCTTAGAAGACTGGCAAGGGTAGGTCTACAGGGCCTGGTAGGTGACCTGAAATATGAAGTAGCCATAATGCTGTTAGGCAGGTGAGGTCTGTAAGCAACAGGAGCCAGATATATGTTCCCTAAAAGTATTCAGACACGTTTTTAAAAGAATTCTGTGCCAGACAAACAAAAACCAACTAGTCCGCAAAGTAGAACCCAGTGGGTAAGCACATTAGTCAGTGGCATTCACATCACGGTCTGAAAATGCGCAGACACAAGTACATTCTAGGCAGTAATTGGAATAGTTGCTTAAATGATCAAAGAAATAATGTTCAGAGATTTTTCTAAGGACAACTATTAGTATGATCTTATAGGAAACATAAAGGGAACTGTGCTTCCATGTATGAGGGTCCCATCTGGGGTTTAAAGGTTTTACTGCCAGATAGTTTGGGGTGATAGACAGAGACCCTGAGAACTGGGTTAAAAAGTGACTCTGGGTTTAGGTACAAGCCTGGAGTGTGACTTGTCATGTGCCTTTAATATAACAAGATTATCAGTTATTAATAATAGTATTTTTTACTAATTATTAGCATAGGTAGTCACTGTTTCATTCATTGGCTCAAGAAGCTCAGGGTCATTCAATATAAAAATGATCACATCCAACCTCACAACCCTTGCTGGGTGCTGCTCTGTGACATCCTGAAGTAGGTGCCTGCTTTTGCTTAAATACCTCCAGGGGTGCAACATTCGCTTCCTCTTGCGGTGGCCCATTTTATCATCATGTTTCCAAAATTAGGGAGTAAGGTAAAAATCGCATCAAGACATATTACCCTTGAACATCACTTTGGAAGATGGGAGCAGATCATTTTGTCTTTGGTTGAGCCTCAGATGAAGTCTGGTGACCTGTGTCATGGGCTCTGCAAAATGGTTATCTGTAGACTCTGGTCTTGAAGGAATGATGGGAGGACAGGTTCAAGTTCCCTCCCACCCATGTTCACTTCAGGATTTACACTCATTGAGTGGAAAGCTGGTCATCGCAGAATGTTTAAAGTTATTTCTCCTCTCTCCCCTCTCTCCCCTCTCTATCTCTCCCCCCAACCCCCAGCACCTGTAGTTAAATTCATGTATTTAAAACACATGTAGTTTCAGTTACCATCATGTAGTGAAGGAGATGATAGAAGTCTTCATAGCCATTTAAGAATGTAAAGTGAAGCCAGAGTCCTG